TTAAAACAAAGCATGTGGTTGTTTTACAATTGAATTGTTCCAAGAATACATGTTTAGAAGAAACATGTGATAGAGGCTGTTCAGGTCTCTTTTACAACCCACACTGCATGAAAAGTGGGATTTTCGTCAATATGCGGCACTGTAGATTGTCGTGGAACTTCAGGTTAGCGGCAGTTTACGACAATTTGCAGGCTTCGCCGAAAACTCCCGTAAATTGATCAGAAATTGACGTGGACTCTCTTAGGCAGTGTTCCCCCCATGCCCCCCCCCCATGGAATTCTAGGGGAGGCTTTAACATGTAAATGAACATGCTGTGAGCTATACAAATGCAAATCAGGGTTGCAGGGGGGGTTTTACTCCAAGTGACATTTTTCTAAAAGGTAAGAATACAAAGAGATCAGGCTCAGTATAGCCTCTTACATTTTAGCTTGAATTGATTTATTTAATTAAAGTATAGAGACCAAAACAGATCTTTAGCTGACAGAGCAATACATTTAGAGCAGTAATTATAAAAAAAATAAATTGCATTTAAGATAAAAAATAAAATGTTGTCTGTCAATATGCTCAATTCCCAACTACTTAAGTGGAAAAGTTTCAAGAAATGAGTCTGAGATGATTCACTTTATAACATGGCGCATTATCCTGTTGGAAGTAGCCATCAGAAGATTGGTACACTGTGGTCATAAGGTCCGGCCAGGTCAAGATCCGCAATTGCAATCGCACCAAACAGGAAAAAGAACATCGACAAATTCCGGTTCGTCAAATTAAAATATAGCAGCAACAGATCGGTGACTAGAAATTATAGCACAATATATATATAAAAAAAAAAAACTAACACCGTTTATTTAAATGATTGGATCCAAACTATTGGTTATTCACCAACGAGGAAGCAGATTTCTCATCTCCATCAAAATATTTATTTTATACCGAGGGACTTAAACTTTAATCAAATCCATTCAAAAGAAACTTCTTATTATAGGAATGAAAAGAGATGTTTGGGAGAAGAGAACAAGTTCATTCAAAAAAAGCAGTTTTGAATTATCCTTATCCCCGTTACAAAAATCTACAAAAATATATATATATATTTGGGCAGAAACTGAACATATGCTGGATGATGGTGGGATTTTTTTAATATGTCATATTAAATTAAGCGCTCACAGGGTTCATACAGGAATGAGTGACTCTAATTTAATGCTATTTGAAATGATTTTAATGCCATCAACAAGAACCATGTACACAAGTTATTAGTGTACATGAAATATGAAGGAGCTGCAGGCACAGTTCCATGACTCCTGTATGTATGTAAACACACACACACACACATATACGTATATATATATCCTCTAGCTTTTTCTCCGCCTGGAGCGATATAATATATCTGACGAAATTGTTTTTATAAGCATTTTTTATTAAAGAATTATAAATACTTCGATAAACATATTTAAATAATTTTAGTGCCAATTAAGGCCTTGATTTAAAAAAAAAAAAAAGAATGATTTTTTAATTATTTTTATTGATCCGCAGACACCCTGGTTCATCTCGCGCATGCTCTGTACGATCTCCAAGAAACTCAGAGCGGCGCGGCTGGATCCACAGTGGAGGATGTATGCTTTGCTTTGTGCAGGCGGTCTGGAGCGGAGAATGGGGGATTTCGGGGTAAAACTCCTCTTGGACGCGATGGCGACTCTGCATCGAACAAGACGAACTCAAAGAAGAGATGCTAGCGGTAAATATATGTTCGATTACTGCCTGCTACGCTAAAAGCAGCCTAGCCTAAGCTACGGCTAATAGCGGCTAATAGTAGCCTTGCAAGAACAAGCTTTATTAAAGTGTATTTTTTGTGATTCACAGAAAGCAGTACGCCGTCTTAACAACTCGGAGACTAATTGCAGGCGCTATGAACCGGAGCAAGGGTAAGATTTAAAGAATATGCTTTCATTCTGTGGTAAAAGGCAATGGATACGGATAGATACCGATCATAGCTTTACATTTTGTTTTCACAGACCTCCTATTTGCTCTGAGCCATCTCGGCAAGTCCAGATTTGCACGATGTTGATAAAGACCACATTGTGTGTAAGTGACTTGTTTTAATGTTTTCTCCTTCCTTGTTACTGTGACTTGCGTTTGATTTTTTATTTATACCACTCTCATTTATTTGTTTTCCAGCTGCCTGTAAGACGTATTTTCAGACGGTACGCAGGAGCTTCAGATATACGCAGCCAGCCAACACGCTGCGTGCGGAGGCTATCTGCTCGGAGTCGGGCCAGAAGAAAGAGGGTAAGACTTTATTTGGTGACTATTTTTCAGGTGCATTAATAGATGTGTTGTGTCCATACGCAGTGCGCTGATTCATTGTTTTTTTTTCAGTTGCTGAAAGCGAGGCAGAGTGTGCTAGCAGATGAGGAAGTGGAACTCTGGAAGTCCGCCTTCCTCGGCGGTGTCTCTGGATGGATTGTACGGTCGCCGCCATTTCGTAGGCCGGATCTCACTGAACTCTGTGTTAAGCTGCAGTCCCGGTTAGAAGCGATGCCGAAGTACAGGGCCACGCACAGTAGGCGTCTGCACATCGGACCTGCCTCGGAGGGAATGCTGCCAGTTACCTCCAACCCCGAGGAAGCAAACGGACCGTTCACAGACTTTTAATTTTTAGAAACGCATGTGTTTGGATACGCGTTGTATATAGTTGTGTGTGTTTTAATAAAGCTCTTTCTTTGCATAAACAGCTTCCTGGCAAATGTTCATTTCCTGTATAAATTCATTCATGTCCTTGATGGTAGCATAATAATTGTGTAGTAGTGTAGGATAACATAAATACACACCATATGAATGAATAAATATATGAATGAATAAATATATATATATATATATATATATATATATATATATATATATATATATATATATATATATATATGAATAAATATATATATGTAAATTTATATGTAAATATATATATATGCCAACCAATCACGAGCGACTTTACTTGTTTAAAAAGAAGTGGTTCCGTCCAATACTCAGTAAGAAAATTAAAGACTGGCGTGGCCACGTGTGGTTTTGCTGCCAATCACGAGCGATTTCATTTGTTTGAGAATAGTGGTTTCAGCCAATACTGAGTAGGTTATTCAAGCCAGACCTGGCCAGCCGCGCAGGTTTGCTGCATTCATATGCTAATTAGGGCCATTAGTACAGCTGATCGCTCTCCACATACGTCATGGTACGTTTCCGACAATTTGTGGCACGAGAAACGCGGACAAGCACGGGTTGCAAATTGTCGGAAACTGACGAAAATCAGGCGGATCTGCGGGAGTTTACGGGGACGAAAATCTCACTTTTCATGCAGTGTCTGTGATTGGATGCCCTCTCGACTCAGTGCAGGAGGTGGAAAACAAAAGGATCCTACCGGTAACTGAATTAACATCTCTGTTGGATAATGTCTCCCACCCAATGCATGAAGCAGTTGCAGAACTGGAGAGCTCCTTCAGTGACACACTGCTGCACCCTAAATGCACCAGGGACCGCTATCACAGATCCTTCTTCCCAACAGCTGGAAGATTTTATTACCCACTGTTCCCAACAACCTCAATAAGTTGTTACAATCAGGCTGATTTTGCAGTTTCTACCTTAGTCACTTAAATAACATGCCGCTATCATTTTTGCACATCTTTGATGTTGCTGCTGTTTTTTACTCTCCAGGTGCACAGTATTTATATTGTTAAAACACTTAACAGTACAGTATTTCATTTTTTTTATTTTTTTAGCTCTTCACTGTTATGTTATTCTTATACACTTTTCTAAGGTCCACATTTGTGTGACAATTTTTCTATAATCTTTTGCTGCTGTAAACACCAGAATTCCCCCATTGTGGGACAATAAAGGGAGTTTCTATTCTATTCTATTCTATTCTATTCTATTCTATTCTATTCTATTCTATTCTATTCTATTCTATTCTAAAATTAATAGGAAAGGGGTAAATGGGATTAATCCGATCAATGGCATAACGACATAACACTAAGCCCGTAAGCAACATTATCTGGGTGGGCCCCATATGAAGTACAACACTCACGCTCTCCCCATTCATCTCCTGGTCGCAATCTTCACTCACTGTAGCAGCATCGTCCACTAATCCCTCTTCGGTCCTTTGAAAGAACATGTTTATTTTTTCAAAGTTTATTCCGTTCTTCCAGCAGCTCTTCGTTGCTTTTTCTTTTCTGGAAATCCGCTTAAGTATCTCATTTTGGTAGCCATCATACGTAACGGTTATGGTTTTAATCTACGCTCTGGATTACCCATAATTCCAAGTCGTATTGTAAAAAAAACAACAAAAAAAACTCAAATAAATTGTTCTTTTGAGATCTTTATTGTGGTTTGAAACATATGAGTGTATTTTTCACCAACCGTCTAATGAACTATACACAGTTATTAACATAGTAATTAAAAGTACCACTGTCTGCTTTGCTATCGGTGTCATGTTAAAACGGCTCACCATCATATTGAAATCTGGCATGTGTTGGGGTATAAATAAGGTCCGCTCAGTCAGTCTAGTATCAGGTGGGTTTAAGAGGAATTTTTCGCACCAATATATCTGCAAAGAGACCTCCTAGTCCTCAATTGCATAGGGGGCCAACCAGGTGTCAGTGACGGGGCCCCTAAGAGGCCGGCGGCCCCTAAGCAACTGCAGTCACTGCTTACCATAGTTACGCCATTGAAGCCAATGTTAAACCAATAATACCAATCTAACCCTACATTTGCTACCACTTCCTTTCTAATTGGGACGCCCTACTCCTTCTAGGGTTAAGCATCTCCATGGGATTCAGTCTACAGGTAAAAAGCACACACTTCCAGAATAGCACTACAGAGCATAAATAAGGCTGTGAAGTAATGCGTGCCAGGTCGGTGAAAAAAAAAAGGAAGAGAAAAGAGTGGAATCATATAATATTAATGCTTCCAGAGTTGTGCAGGTGCTTTGGGTAAAACGCAGGCGCGCGCTGAACGCGCCGCATGTGATTCCCAGCTTCAGTCATGTTGGCAGCACGATGCGAGACGGAGACGAGCGCGAGGCTGTGAAAGCGGACCCTCTGCCAGGGATGGAGACGAGTCCCTGAGACCGCCGCCAACCCGGGATACCGCCTATCTGGACTCATATGTGTTTTTCTCTATGAGTGGGGGGGCTGCCTTGTCCTGCGTTTTTTTATTGTTTTTTTTTTTTTTTTTTTTTTATTCCCCCTCTTCCTGCAAGCAGCCTATAGTGGACCTGGATGCCGTGTGGGCGATACAGCCACAAGGGATGTATTGTGAATTGGCGGAGATGTTTTAGTCAGCTTCACATAGAATAAAAACAATTAAAAAAAACATCCAACCTTACACGGGATCTTAAAGATCGCCACCTGTTACCAGAAAATCAGGTAAGCCTCGCAAATCTACTGTCGCCTTTAACATTTGCAAAGCCTGACAGTAAGAGGGACGTAATTGTTATTCTCCTAAAGATCATTGAGATCAAACATAAATATTCACAATGTACTTTTTTTTTTTAAAGGTGAATTTTGCTTTAATGTTGCGCTCCAAAATTAATGTACCCATCACCTTTATAAACCAAAAGCGTTTATATCCACATTTAATATTAGGTTTGTGCGCTGAATAGAAGAAAACACAATAAATCAGAATTTCTTTAATATTTGATTAAGTGAAAGATATGTGGGCTTGCACAAACCTTTGCAGTGCATCAGTGCAGGTGTATATAGACAGCAACCGCAGTTCCTCAAGCAAGTGCAGTGGCAGTAGACCTCTTTTCATCCACAGCTATTCAGCTGCGTTCAAGTAGCCTGCTCCTTCTGTGCTGGATGCCAATCTAAAGCAACATTTCTACTTAGAGGGGGGAGAAGAATAAGCCCGTTTTTATAGCTGTTCACAAATCACTCGTCAGTGCTCTGCCTCTTTTTCTAGATCCTTCCCTGCTTGGGGAAAAAAGCTTCCTTGCAATGTCCATCTGTGGAGGGGTTTCACATGGGAAATGCTCTATGTTGGCTCAATGTAGAATTTTAGCTTTTAAGAAAAGTTCTGAATCAAACCATTGGTTTTTCCTGTCTTATCGTGCAGTATAAAAGTTTCATAGCTTTTTAAGGCTTTAATGTATTTCATTTTGGTTATATTTGACATACCAAATGGAAGGTACATAATGCATGGTTTAATTTCTGATTTTCTATTGCAAATACTGAAATATAAAGCGTGTATTTCAGTTATTTCAATGTTATTTCTTTGCATCAAGTGAGAAACCTTTGCCTATTCTTCCTCTAATTTGAACAGAAATGACCTGTGATAGAAATCTTATCCAGGGATGCCCGATATCATCAGCATGCTATCAGTCAGTATTAGCTTTAAAAGTAAATATGATACACCCGCCTTTCCACAAATGCAATTCATTGGTAAAAAAAAAAGGCACTGCTTATGTGATAAAAAGTACGGATTATATCTGCGGTGCCAACAGCTCAGGTTAAACCAGCTGATGCATGAGTCTGCCATGGGAGAGATGTTGAAGTAAAAATGTTGGTAATGTGGATGTTTTTTTCAGAGAAGCTTCACAAACAGGTAGTTGAAATGCTATTTGCAATGACTTTACAAGACAGGAGAAAAAAATTACATAGCATTGGTAAGTAAGGCTTGGGAAAAAATCTCAATATTGGTTATTGGCAATTTGAGTTGGACAATATCATCATGTCAGCCTAAATTTCAATATGGTGCATCTCTAATCATGATCATCTTGTACCCTCTGATTAGGGCTGCTGTTCTGTTGAAAGGTCTTGTACTGTAAGTGGGAGTTGTATTTTTTTCTTTTCCCAGAACTGCCCTCTGTTTAGCTATACTATCAGAATCTCCGACCATATTTGGCTGCACTGGATTTTCTTTGGGGGTATCAGGGTAAAGGACCCTAAGTAAAATGTGCCTTCCAATCTTAAGGCTTTGATTGTGAAAATGATTGATAATCATGTATCAGGGGAGATGGCGGCATAGTGGTTAGAGCCTTGCACTTTGAATCCAAAGGTTCTGAGTTCAAGCCCCAGTCCCAAGGACTGTCACTCTGGCTCCCTGAGCGAAGACCCTTAACCCCACACTTCTCCCTGGGCACCACACAATGGCAGCCCACTGCTCCCCAAGGTGATGGTTTAAATGCAGAGAGTTAATTTCATTGCCCTGTACTTCTGACAGTTTAATGACAATAAGGCTGGAGAAAAAAAATCTTTCCACTTCTCTATTATATGCTAATTTGTATTGGTCTGTCAAAAAATGGATTGATTTTGTGGTTGTATTGAGACAAAATGCAATGGACACTAGACTAGTTTTACAGAGTTTGCTTTTTATTTCTCTGATATACTTTAGGCCAAAGAAGCAAACTAGAGCTCAAGTTTAGACCTACCATAAAGACATAGTGTGAATTCCATTCACACTGGATGTGTGTCATGGTCCCATTTACTATGTGGGGAGTGGTGCTGAATTATCATTGACAGTTGTATTTCTAAACCCCCGACCACCCCCACCCTGCTTATTTCTGAAATCAAAGAGAATTTTGGCCAAGTGACAAGGCTATGCTGTCTGGAGATGGAAAGAAAAGATAAAGGGAAGAAGCGAAATGGTTGTCAGTCTTGTCTGAGCTGTATGTCATCCTGTGAGACAACTATGTCTTTGAAACTATCTTTTCTGCATCTAACTAAGATAGACTCAACCCCAATTTAAAGTCAACTTTAAAAACTTCTCTGAGTCATCTCATCGATAATCTGCTTTTCTTTTCTTTTGTCCCCTACTGCCATATCCATCTGGTACATTTAGAAAAATCCTCACTGGTTAAAGCTCCTGTAATATACAAGCGGAAACAGCAGTCCTAAAGCATCACTAAAAGCAGCGAATGTGCACATTGACATTAATTTTGTATGTTAACACATTCAAAGTGCTGCTCCACTCCCCCAGCAACACCTAGTCGCTTGATATGCAATCGAGCTGCTCTAAATATTCAAAGGTTGCTCTTTTTTGTCCTTTGAATTAAGCAGAAGTGGCTTTTTTAATGCCACATGTCTTTGTCCGTAAACTATTTTGATCTTAAAAGTTGTAACTGTACATGAACAACCTTTATTTTAACCTTTTATGTCCAGAGATCATTTCTTTCCTGCTCACTTTAGCCAACCATCTAAATTTGATTAACAACACTTTTTAGAGCCCTATATATATATATATATATATATATTTATATATTTATTTGCAAAAAATAACATAAAAAGCAGGAAGCCTGTATGTGCATTTGTAGAATATATCTTAGTGATTTTCCTCATGTGATTATCCAGTTTAAAGCATCTACATCTTCAAGCTTGGACATCTTCATTACAAGAGAGCCCTTGAGTTCAGCATAGAGAAGAAGTATACTACCTGATCATTCTGAAGGGGGGGGCAGAAGTGTTTGGTCAGTCATCCATACAAGATACTCCAGATCCTAAACTAATAGAGGAGGAGCAGTGCACCTTTTTTGCAGTGTGATGTACGAGCTGCACAAATAAAAAGAAACTGTGGATATATCTCTCAGGAAGAAGGGCTGCGCAGGGAAATATATTAACGACCTGTGCTACAGCATCACTGTCATGCAACAAGGAAAACCATTAGTCTGTCTTAACGGAGACTGATGGCTAATGAAGCGAATGCACACCCGACTCTTCATGAAGGGGACGACACAACTCTCATTTATATGCACCTCATATAGCAGCCTATCTGATTTAGGGGATCCGGCACTGCAACACAGAACCACTCACTTAAAGCTACACATGCTCGGTGATGACTGCTATAAGAAAACCAATAAGGGGTCAGATTATCCATAATGATAAATGATCACTTAACATATACATGGAAAAACCCAGTTGGATAACATCTGCACCTCCAGAGGAGGGTTTCTGTTGAGGTATTTTCTCTTTACTTTGGAACCTGGAACTAGTCCACGCTGGACAATTTTAGGTCATATTTGATTAATGTGTTAGAGCCTGCTTGTTAAGCACGGCTGCTCTGAAACCACGATACGGGAGCAGCTCAGCCTTGATGGCTCAGGCTGTAATCTGCATTACTGTGTTTCCATTTAATATTTGCAATCCATTTAATCAGTAGACGGAAGCCTAAAATAGCCCGAGGCTGTGTTCAACTCATTTCAGACTTTCCTTTTTATTGTCAGGGTAGGATAATGTATAAAATGGCACTCTTAGTTTTTTTGAACAGCTGTGGAACTGCCTACAACAGACGTTTATGTGGAGCTGTAGAAGCTGGTCCAGAATCAGGAAAGCAATAACACAAATATACAATGAGCACCTAATATTTTTTTCTTTTTTAGTGCTAAAAGGTTAATCTACTTTATAGAGTAATATTAGGACCAGATATGTGGACTGCTTAGTGACTAAAAATATTTTTAAACAACTGATTTACTTGTTGAAAGCTTTGCAAAGTGCTTCAGTCTTCCTTAGAAATTAACTTAAAATGACTTATATAACCTGTTTTTTTTTTCTTAACAATTTAGATGTTTATTTTTTTGTTGTTTTCCATTCCATGATTTAAGTAGAATTTTTCTGGATTATGACAAAGTTTTAATCAAAGTATCTTTAACCAGCTTCGAATCTATCTAATTTTATTAATATGGTTATACATATATATTTTTTATCGTATAAACTCAATCTTCTTGTTTTGTAATCACAAGGCCTCAGGCTTTAACGACAGCGCCCCCGACTAGGTTAATGTGCCACTGGGCAAGGCACTTATCTTCCAGTGTACAGCTCTGTATTTTGAGGTATAAATGTGTGAATGGAGGGAATGTGGTAGGAGGAATGAAGCGCCTGTCTAAATGCACCAAGGGTTGGCAGTGTAATTACTAGGTGAGTCTATTTACATTTAAAGTGTCTTAACATTTATTCTAACTGGGTGAAGGTGTATTCTTTTTTTCAGAGAAACAGATTTACATTGCTTTTATCAAGCCTTCAGAGTGCTTTTGTTATGTCATGTTCCATTTTCTGGAGCAGATTAAACCCATTCTGGATCCTGGAACAGACCAGTGAACCATGCTTTAGCACTGTTACAACTTCCAGCTTGGTGCAGTTGCTCCAGACCAAGGACTGGTTCACTTGCCTGTCCTAGCGTACCAAAAGCAGGAAGACAGAAAGCTACATACAAAGATTCAGACACCAAAAGAGCAACAAAAACCCCATGCTTGTACATTCTTCTTCTAGGTCTTTTTCTTTTCCATCAGCCCGATGCTGGAGCAATACTTCCCCACCAAAGCAATCTGTTGCAACGGCATGATGTTGTTGGACCCAGTATGAAATCTCTGTGTGAAAGTAAACTGTGACAAATAAAGGTTTGGCTTTTCTCACTTTTAGTGATCCCTGGACCA